ATAAGTACAATTTCTTACGTTGAGTACAATTTCTTATAAGTACAATTTCTTATATTTTTATCCGCCATTACTTATTACTATTAGGCATTACAAATACAAGGTCAAATACAAGGTCGGACAATTAACGGCGAGTAATTTGTCAACAATAAAAATGTCGCTTGATTTTCAAAGTCCATAAATCGTTAGAATACTGTTGTTTAGTGATACATTTGGCATCCGTAAGTGCAATTTCTTATGCTGAATCGAACGGTGGTATTTTTATCCTTATTGGCTATTGTGCCATTACTGTAATAGGCATTTATACAAATACAATATCATATTTCACACTGAGTCACTGCAGTTTTCACGGACTGTTGTTCGATAAAATTCATGTCGATATGACACCAGTATGCTTCTCATAGCCTCTCATAAAGTAGTTATTTATTAAAACTACGTTGTGCAGTTTAAGTTATAACCTTTTACCTTGAAATTGTCTTTGGCTCGTTTATATTCAGATTCAGTATATTATGATCGTGCACGGGAATTCCACGATCCAAATTTCGGATTTTCAGAGCCGTGCACCAAGAAAAACGCATTAAATAAACTAGCAGGAATGTCCACAGTTACACACAATCCAAAATCCATAGAAAACAGGTACAATTGGTTCAAAACTTTCACGAAATTGTTGAAAACATTTCGCCCACTCCACGAAAGTCCCCGCCATTTTGAAGGATCAAGCAGCTCATTAATAATTATTCTATTTTGTGGCTATCGACGATCCAAGATAAATGCATGCCGAAACCTATACTCGCCCGGGGCACAGGTGCCCCAGCGAGTAATAAACTTTCAAAATTACAAAGGAGAGCTGCGCGTGTAATTACTTCAAGTACATACGATATTCGTTCCTCCAAAATCTTGAAAGACCTTAATTGGAAATCAATTGAAGATGACTTAAAAAATAGGGAAACTGTTATGACATTCAAAGTTTTAACCGGGCAAGGACCGGATTATTTACAGCAATTATTTACTGAGTGCAATAACGATAATTACAATCTAAGAAGTAATAACACCAAATTGGCACTCCCAAAACCAAGGACTAATTTCTTAAAAAGAAGCTTCTCATATAGAGCGGCAAAGTCCTGGAACGAATTATCTAATGATATAACTGAAGATTTCTGTGAGCAATCAGTTAACGCTTTCAAACGGCGACTTGATAAAACCGCTTAATTGGTTGGATCATTTGATTATACATTAATTATACCTTAATTTAGTGTTGTGTCATAGTAAATATGATTTCGTTTTTATTACACGGCCCTTTGAAAACCAGTACCTCTTGTAAATATAAAGTTAGTTTTTAATAGTTACTGAATAGGCTACCGTTTGTAAAGATTTTGATTAATAATAATAATAATAATAGATAGATAGGACAGGTTTAATAAAATCGTAAATTACAGTTGGTATAACTGAACTGCGTACAAATATTTACAATTGAATTATTTCATGCAAAGAACTAAATATATTTACAATAAAAACTATAGCGGGCTATAATTGACACGAAATAAAGTTAAGAAGTTATACACTTATACTATTAGATATAATGAAGGAGTTCTTAAAACGTTCTGTTCGAATCGTAGGGACTAGAAATTTATGACATTTCCTTAAGGGATATGTACACCCGATTTCCTCTTGGATAATTTGATGTAGTTTGTGCTTAGTGGTATTCGAGTGTGCTTGAAGGAAAAGTATTTTACATGCTGCTTCTCTTCTGTTTCGTAAGGTTTCTAGATTGGCTAATTCGAGCGCCTCTTCATATATAAGAGCTTTCAGGAAATACCCTTCTTAGATACCGTCTTTGGATCCTTTCGATATCTGAACTCAAGCATTGCGGTAGAGAATTGTGGAAAACAGGCGAAGCATATTCTAGCGTCGAACGAATACAGGCGCAATATATTTGGATCAAATCTTTGACAGTAATTCTATGTAGACTAGTAATTCGTAAGCATATAATAATGCAAAATTTGGGTAGCTAGTTTTGGAATCGGTCAATAAATTAACTATATACTAAGTAGGAGACGATTCGTCTCAATATATTCGAGCAACATGCACATATCCAAAAATAATTCATAACAAAGAGAATGCAATAATTCAACATCAACTTTTTAGTAACATCGTAACATCGGGAAGCCCGGCAAACTTTAAAGCTACAAAATAGAAGGCCTTTGTTGGATGTTGAACTGTACCTCACCGTGCACAAATCCTATTGTATCAACTTCACTAAATATTAATAATCGTGGCTGCTCGTTTCATCACAGTTATTCCTATTGGACGGTTTAACTTATTTATACGATAATATAGTGAGCTCAATCACCGTGCCCGTTCCCAAAATAACATAAACTCAGACAAAACATAATACAATGACTTCTGTATAGTTTCCAGACCATTATATCTTGATAACTATATACGACATCGACAAGTGGGCGGATACACTTAGAGAAGATTTCTATTAATTTGTCGGATGCTTTCGTACGAACTTGATTAATCGATATAAATATTTCACAGCGTTTCCCTAAACAGTACCTTGCAGTCGCAGACGCTAAGGGAAATTATATCATTTATGCGCACAATTTCTTGGAAAACTGACTCACAAAATTGGAAACATTGCGTAGGTGCGAGTAAAACTGTAAAACTAAAAATAATTGTCAAATAATAAGGAAACTGCAGAATTATTATGCAGGTGATTGTGCGAATTGTATGTTAAAACTGGCGTACATCAACGTTAATTGTTCATCTATATTACGCGAAGAAACAATACGTCTTAGATGCGAAACTTTGTCTTAACCCTATTCAGACGAAGGAGGGGCGCTGATTTTAAAAGTTTTTATCTCCTAAACCAGTATAGGTATGGTTCTGAAACTTTACAACGTTACGTTTCCTAAAGTTCTATGAGCTTTAATTATTATGTCTAGAAAACTTAGTGGAAAATAATACGCCAAAAAAGTTACAGCCTATAGTCGTGAACACATGTCAAAAATTAAATTTCGGGATTTTAATTAAATTATAATAGCTGCAATAGATTCAAAATAAGCACTTTTTAACAAAGAGAAACTATTTTTCTGATATATCCTTCCATTTTTATCCTAACAAAACAGCTAAAAATTACAACAAAAGAATATATAATTTTAAACTTTTTATCAATCCAGGTTTTGCAATTTAACGATACCATAATTTTTTTACCATGCATGTGTCATAATATACTTGAACAAGGCATACTATCCACCAGTAGAAGTTTTGTCGGAGTACACCAAATGTATTAGGATACATTGATCTCGGGCAATTACTGCCACATACCTACAATCCAGGACAAAACCACCTGCGACACCCTATTAAAACATTCCTTTGTGGCTTTTTTTACCAGTTAGACCGGAATAATTTACTCGTTTGCCCCCCTCCACCCCCCAAAACAATGTTGGACGTTTTATCCGTATTCTACGAATGCAATCAACATTGAATGGTGGGGGAAAGGGGGAGGTTTTCTAAATTTACGATAATATTACGACATTTTGTCAAGTAATTGGAAGTGTCGCAGTTGTTTTGTCCAGGATTGTAGCTCCCCACTCAGTCTCAGAATACCCCGAAAAATCCCAGTCTGGATAGGGTTAAAATGGAACTTGCTTCTAAAAATTATGGAATAAAATTTGTCATTACAGCAACGAAGTTATGTCAATGTGCTGGAAAGAAAATCCTGAATGTCGCTCAAATTTTCTACGTTTAAAAGATATACTATACAAAATACTTGATTGGAAAGAAATCTCACAGGTATGCAATGTAAGCGTTAAAACATCCAATGCATTGCAGACGTTATTCTAACTATTCAGACTGAAAATTGGTTCATACTGAATCATCTAATATTGCAAATAAAAGCCAACTTGTGATAAAGATTTTACCCGAGACGAACCATGATTAAGTTGCTTAAATCGGGTTGAAGACTCTTAAGATTTTAGATCTCACATTCTTTCAATCGGTCATTCATTTTGTTAACATGATCGTTATGGGCGTACGAGCTGATCAGTTCCTTCAGGCGGGGTAGGTGGCTAGTTGAAAGGTTGCCCGAATTTTTGTGGGGGACCCATGCCCCTCTTCCCTGTCTCGTATGCACGCCTATATGATGATCGTCATAATATCTTTTCTTAACCCTAGACCTCTGCATACAACAAAGAAATCATGAACTCAAATGAGATTGAATCAGAGGAAGACGTCAACGAAAATGAACTATTCATTTAAAATTATAAATCTATCTTGTTTCTATTTACTATTGAACTATTTGTCAGACTCTAAAGAGCTTTTAGGTCAACTTGCTGGATAGATTTAACAGGAAATTTCGAACCAGAGAATGAAGTGCAATTTTAAACCTAACCAGAAGCAGTTACGAAAAATGCAGCTATAGGCCTTCTGACAGGAATCGTGCAGCCCGGAGATTTCGGAGAAGCGCTCAAACCAGCTCAGGTCTTAGTCCAATTGTCGTGATCTCAGATGGCTGCACGTCAATCGCAAGGTCGCAGGTTCGATTACTGGCCGAGGGCATGTGGTTGCATTTTTTGTACCTGCTTCTCTTATAGATCTAAAATTGTACAGTATAATGTAATCTTGAACTAGGAATTCCAAGCATCTACAAATTTAAATTATTCAACTACTTAGCAGGAATTTGAATAAACTATTGATATATTTAATAAGAAAGACTAATTAATTAATTAATATTGGTAGAGTTGTTGATTAAAGACTACTTTAATCATATAAATGCTTGTTGCTTATAGGGTATTAAAGATAAATTTAATCCGTTGATTAAAGACCGCTTAAAGCGATATGAAGTATAAATTAATCACATTTAATACATTGATTAAACTTTGTGTAAGTCCAATCTTAATATATCTTATGTCGTCGCTTTATTATACTTGCAATAAGTTACATCGCTTGTGATCACATGACGTTGGGTTTTTTATTGCGCTTTTGAAAATGTCGAATTTGTGTCATATATTCTGACAATATAGTTTTATTCATGATTACAAAAACTCGATCTTGCTTGACTCAAGGTTCATGCATCGATAATTATTAAGAACAGTAAAAAATCACGAAAATTTGTAATGATGAAATGCAACATGAACTCAAATATACAACACGCGTTCATTTTTAAAATACATTTATTATAACATATATACATATTATACCCGTGCATATACAAAAATGAAACTAAAATACCTTTCATATAAATATTATTAGTCGTTATTCTTCAGAGAGTGAGAGTTCAATTGTCGAACTGAAACATTTAAGGTCTTTATAGCTCTCAAGCTGCAGCCAGAACTAATCCTTTCTCGCATAACATTCTCACGTACGGTATTGTTATCCGTTCACAAGGGAATAGAAAACGGTAAAGGAAGACAGATTTGTGCTGACAAAGACCCAACCGAACCTAAAATTATCACGTTTTGTGATTGGTTTTGTAAGAAAAAGGGGACTAAAGTTTGTGACTCGTTGTTTAGAAAATTATTTTTAACTGGCAAAAATTGTTGCCAATTTACGTACAATATACAGCTAAATGCACTTATATTGTCCTAGACAACGGTAAAAGCCAATGCTAAAACTAACTAGCGGACAAAGCCAACCGAATAACGCAAATCCTTAAGAGGCTGTCTCTCTAAGAACCGACCAATGACTCTCGTCGGCTCAAAAAATGAAATTCTTCGTTACTTTCACAATGAGATGTATTTACCCCAAGAACAAACAAACACTATTTGGAATTTTGAAATTTTATTAATTTTAAAATGTCAGCGATTTTTTGGTCCCGCGCCGTCGGGCAGAAAATCCTCTGCCTATATCAGGCATAAATATTAGGCGAATTCAAATACATACAATTTTAAACGTATTCAACCAAATTTTATGTCAATGCTAATATTTATTCAATGCTAATATTTATAATACATAACCAAATTATTGTCAATGCTAATATTTATTCAATGCTAATATTTATAATATATAACAAATTATTGTTAATGCTAATATATTTTTTTTTATGTGAAAATTATTCTACTTTGAAACTTGCCTTGTTTTATGATGCTTTTACAGAACAATTATGGAAAACTTTAGCGATAACAAGCACCGGGTCTAAATACGGCTTTATACACATATCAAATTCGACTTTAAATTTCTCAAAAGTGGCACCAAACTGAATTCTGGGACTAATAAGGTTTAAAAAAGGGAAGTTTGAAGTACCAATATCCATAATAAAACTTGTTACCAACCGCGATTTGAAGACTCGACAGCCTCTGAAATTTGATACAATTGGCTATTTTGTTTAGCTTCAGTTTATATAGTGGAGTTGAGACGTCAGAGCTTCCAGTCACATGTAAAATGCGCTGTTGTTCCGTTTTTGTGGCATGCCCATATATGGACATGCAACTTTCATATAGCTCTAAATTTCGTGTCGAGTGCGTTGTACCGGCGGTGGTAAATCACGTGACAGATTCGTATGTGAAAGTTGAAACTTCAATATGCACACTTTTGTTCATGGCTTTCGGCGAGGAAACGCAAAGAAAATATTGAGTTTTCGTCGAAAATTTACGTAATTTAGCGCCTTAGAAAAATAGATCGAGGTAGGTAAAGCTTTGCTGTTTTTAAATTAATTTAGCTTATATTCTGTTACTTGACAATTTGTTGACCCCCTTTGTTATTATTTTGGTACCGTACGTTGTGCTCGCACTGATATTTATTTATCAATTATCAGGCGTTTAATGTTTGTGAAAGGCCACGTTATCAAAATTCTAATTTTTTAATTATATGCTCAAATTGAAACGATGCCATTGTGCTAGCACTGATTATATTGTGTGTGAAACTTCAAATTTCAAAATTACACCACATTCTGTAAATATAAAATGAACTATTGTCTACTGAAATTTAATACAACGAAATAGCATTCCACTTCGATAATTTCAATCATAATCGAGATCATAGTTTAATAATTATTTTCAATCTATTATAGTAATTCACGGTTTCCACGGGTTTTCAGATACTTTCAGTAAGCCACAATAAAGCTAAATTTGTAGGAAAATATAAACATTGTTTACTTCGATTGTGTACGTCTATTAATAATTAACGCACGTATTACGATTAGTTTATATTTAGAATATGGACATTATATATTGAGTTGTTTACATGTAGCCGAGATATCAAGAAGTCTATTAAATAAGAGAATATTATAATGGCGACGAAGATAAAGTAGATAAACGTATTCTATTAAACGAAACGATGGTGGAAGAGCAGGCAGAGCCTCAACCACTGCAGCAACCGGCTGTACAGATCATGCAATCTGTAACAATAACCCCAATGCCAGAATTTTGCCTAGATGCAAAAATCGGAACAAGCCTTTCGACAAGATGGAACAATTGGCAGTCAGACTTCGAAATGTATATAACCGCAAGTGGAATAACGGATCAAAAGCGAAAACGTGCACTCTTGGTATATCAAGCCGGACCAAGAGTTCGCGAGATTTTTAAACAAATCCCCGAGACAGGAACTGATACGGACTACGACATCGCGAAACAGAAATTAAAGGCTTACTTCGACCCTCAAAAGAATCGACGGTACGAAGTTTATCGTTTTAGACAAACAACTCAAGAACACAATGAGACATTAGATCAGTTTCACACCAGACTTAGAACAATATCAGAAACCTGTGAATTCGCAGACGTTGAATTTGAAATCGAAGAACAAATCATTATAGGCGGAAATTCATCAAAAATACGAAAGCGAGCACTGCGTGATCCTACATTTGACTTAAAATCAATGCTTTTAGAAGGACGTCGTGACGAGCAGAGCAAGTACCAAGCTCAACAAATTGAATCTAAAGAACAAACTGACGGTAAGGCTAATAAATTAGAACAAAAACCTAATAACGGTAATTTTTCGAACAGTAGTAATGTTATTTGCAGAAATTGTGGGCGTGCTTATCCACACACAGGGGCATGTCCAGCGAAAGGAAAAACCTGTAATAATTGTGGAAAACCGAATCATTTCGCTGCTGTTTGTCGAGGAAAACAAAAACAAACGCAATCACCGAGATACACAAACAAAAAGCATGCACAAAGAAATTTAAAAACATTAGATACAGAATCAAACTCGAGTTCCGATGAAGACTATTTATATACCATGACAAATACAAAGCACAATAACAAGGTCAATGTTAAAGTAGGCGGTGCCAAATTTCAAACAACAATTGACAGTGGCGCGACAATAAATGTGATCGATCGTGACACTTTTAACAAAATGCAAGAGATAAAATTAACTTGCACGAACACGAAAGCTTTCGCGTATAATACGAAATCACCAGTTGAATTTTTGGGAAAATTCGAAGCGGTAATCGAAACACGAAAACGAATATCTGTAGCCACATTCTATGTCGCTAAAGCTGCGAACTGTGTAAACTTACTTTCTCTTTCTACTGCACAAGAACTCGGACTTATTAGTTTGCATCTAGACAAACTGACATCAAAGGATGCCGCACTAGAAAACATCCTTCAAAAGCATTCTAAAGTTTTTTCCGATCTTGGAAAATTGAAGGGAGAAAAAATTAAACTAGATATAGACAAAACTAAAATTCCGAAAGCACAACCCCAAAGGCGCATACCTTATCACATTCGAGAAAAAGTGAAAAACGCGATAACTGAATTAGAAAATCAAGGTGTCATTGAAAAAGTGCCCGAAAATGAAGCTACTCCTTGGGTTTCACCAATTGTAGCTGTTCCCAAAAAAGATGGACAGGTTCGCATATGTGTTGATATGCGGCTCGCAAATGAAGCTATAAGACGAGTAC